TGCCGGGGGGGGGGGGGGGGGGGGGCACGTCCATGGCAACCTGATGACGAGGCCGACCCCACACCCGCATAGTTGAGTGTGGCCAATCCCTGACAGCTCGGGGGAGGGCTTACACCCCGTCAGCCTGGACTTGCATTTGGCATCCCTGCCGTATTAACGGCAACCGGTGACGCGGCCGATTCCACACCTGCATGGGTGGGTGCGTGCGGCCAATCCCGGCTTGGAACGCACTGACTGGCGCCTAGCCACCTCCCGTGCACCGGATGCGCTATGCCGCAGGCCACTCCCCCACCGCTGGATACGGCTCCTCTGCCTGTATAGCTGCTCGGTATCCCCCCCGGCCCATAAGTATACATAAGGTAGTCATGGTTCTCCCATGTGATCTCCATGCACATGCGTGTTTGGTATTGGCCACGCCTCTTGTAGATCATGTATGTATCATATGGTCACCACATGTGCAATTGTTGTATTATGGCGGGAATGTGACGTCACATGATCACAGCAGGCCTGGGGATTGGCTTACCCTCACATCATGGGGTGTATATATACGTAGACGGTTTCACTTGCATCACTTATTTTGCCCGATGAAGGGGATCCCGTGAGACCCGGAAACGTTGCGTTTGATGCATCGCGCTGCTTCCTGCACCAATAAACAGACGACACGGATTCATCACTTGGAGTGCCTGCGTCCATGTTGTTTTCCTGTGATTATAGGCGGTCGCAGCGCCCATCTTCTACACTACCCCTGACAGCCACAGGCATGACTCCCAGAGACAAAGGGATGATGGGGTTTTGTAGTTGGACTCCATTTCTTGAAGTAAACGCACAGCGCCCAGTAATTGTTTTGCGGTCACGCCGGCCGTCTTGGCCAGTCATGTGATCAGTGCAATCAGCTAATATTCAATAAACACATCCACCAATAAAAAAAGAACCTGCAAAGGTGAGATAACCTCCGGCCTCTGATGTCATAATGACAAAAGACCCTGAATTAATGACGTCACCAATGCTGAATCATCGGAGGAGACGAGGCTCAGCACCTCAAGTTTGCCGCCACAGCCGCCTTCTGACGACACTTCCGGGATCTGATGGCGAGGCGCAGTACAGGATTGGTGTTCAATGGTGTCACGTGGTATGTGTCAGGCCAGGTCTCAGGTCACGTGGCGTTAATCACGCTTGAAGCGTTCTATACACTTTGTCCCCGCCCCCTCTTCAATCCACGTGATCTGACAGCCGTTGAGTCACTCTCTGGGATCAGACGTGGCGGAGTCCGACCTGACACACAGCGCCACGTCATAGGAATCCCCGGAAAGGGCGGGGCCTGCTTGTCGGAAGTGACACAGTGCCGGTGGAGAGCTACTGTTAGACATGGCGGCCTGTGCGGATGGCAAATGGAAAGTGGTGGGAAAGAACAAGAAGAACGGAGAGAGGAGGAGAGCGCTGGGGGAGAGCAACGTCACCGCCGCCGCCGGAGGTACGGACCCGCCTGTGCCCTGTTGCCCACCCCGCACCTTACTACCTAGCACCTTGCTGCCCTGCTACCCACCCAGCACCTTACTGCCCACCCAGCACCTTACTGCCCACGCCCCCCAGCACCT